TAGCCGGCAGGGTAATGTACAATGAACGCGGCTTATGCGGAAATCACGCTTTGTGTTAATCTCCCGTCCAGCGTGTGCCGCAATCTGTGTGACATCTGAAAACCTCGACTTTCTGAACGCCGGAGAACCATTAAAATGATCCCACTAATCCCGGCTTTTATTTACAATGACGGTGCCGAGGCCGGATGGCGCCATCTGTATGGTGTCACTGTACTCGCACTCTGCCACCGGCCATATAGTGTTATACCATCCATCAATAGAGGTGACTGTACACGGCTTCACCCACACACCACAACCCAACATAAAGCAGTCCTCTATATCTGACCTCCGTCCTTCCCTTCAGTCTTCTATCTGATCTCCGTCCTTCCCTTCAGTCTTCTATCTGACCTCCGTCCTCCCCTTCAGTCTTATATCTGACCTCCGACCTCCCCTTCAGTCTTCTGTCTGACCTCCGTCCTCCCCTTCAGTCTTCTATCTGACCTTCGTCCTTCCCTTTAGTCTTCTATCTGAACCTCGTCCTCCCCTTCAGTCTTCTATCTGACCTCCGTCCTCCCCTTCAGTCTTCTATCTGACCTCCGTCCTCCCCTTCAGTCTTCTATCTGACCTCCGTCCTCCCCTTCAGTCTTATATCTGACCTCCGTCCTTCCCTTCAGTCTTCTATCTGACCTCCGTCCTTCCCTTCAGTCTTCTATCTGACCTCCGTCCTTCCCTTCAGTCTTATATCTGACCTCTGTCCTTGACTTCAGTCTTAATCTATCTGACCTCCGTCCTCCCCTTCAGTCTATCTGACCTCCAACCTCCCCTTCAGTCTTCTGTCTGACCTCCGTCCTCCCCTTCAGTCTTCTATCTGACCTCCGTCCTTCCCTTTAGTCTTCTATCTGAACCTCGTCCTCCCCTTTAGTCTTATCTGAAGGAGAAATATAAGCAAATTTAGACTTCAGCGTTGATTTACTTTTTGCCATGAAGTCTGTAAGGAACAATTTTAGGTTCATAATATGAAGTTGGTCGTCTGCAGTGCCGGGTCTGGAATTATCTCTGACAGACGGCCGTCATTCCTGAGCTGTCTTATAATAATTGGAGGAGAGAAGCAGAAGCGCGGAGCCTGCTGTCCCAGATGAATTTTTTGAAGCGGATATTGAGGGTTCGGGCCAATAAAAATGAAAAATATCAGATGGATAACACGGCGGATAAACTCTCTGATATCATCGCATTGGAGGTCTGTACCTTCTTCTGATATCAAGGGATCTGCTCAGTGTTCCTGCACCTAGGTGGCATCTCCATATACTTGGCTGGGTTGGAGGACTGGGTTGGAGGACTCTTCTCTATGGTTCATGTCAGCCTCATGAGGAACAATGCAGGTCTATCGGCTTATATCTGGGCAGTGACCACGCAGTGTGGATGATGGATGGTGGGGACACAGTAGGGGTGGTGGTGGATGGTGGGGGCACAGTAGGGGTGGTGGTGGCGAGGGGCACAGTAGGGTTGTTGCTGGATGGTGGGGGCACAGTAGGAGTGGTGGTGGCGAGGGGCACAGTAGGGTTGTTGCTGGATGGTGGGGGCACAGTAGGGGTGGTGGTGGCGAGGGGCACAGTAGGGTTGTTGCTGGATGGTGGGGGCACAGTAGGAGTGGTGGTGGCGAGGGGTTGGGATTTAAACTGATGCTGCTATGTTCTTGCTGAGATGATGCTGCAATGGGGCCCTTCTCATTCAGCCCCTGCTGAGCTGGGTCCCCCACTGACTCAATGGGGTCTGGGCCCAGTACAGGAGTACATCCAGTACCCTCCAATCCATTGCCCTGCATAAGAAGAAATAGGTAGGTGGGTATTTGGTCTGGAAGCACTGTCTGTCTTACCATGTCCTGTTCTGCACTGTGTCTCTGTGTGGAGGCGGCCATCTTGGTAGAGGCAGGACTATGGTTCCTAATATCAGAGCTGGCCCCTGATGACTGGTGATGTAATGAGAGAGGAAAGAGAAAGCACAGATCCATAGAATGAATGACTCAGAAGCAGGGAGATCCTTACACTGCAGGTACTCGGGTGCGGCTTCCTCTCCAGCAAGGAGAACAGTGAGCAGCACAGCAGTGACATCACCAAATCTCTCTCCAAATCTGGTGAGACCGGCAGTCAGAGGCAGCGGTGCCTTAGGTGATATCACACTGCAGATATTCATATATGAGGATACAGAACAACATTGTGAACTCCACAGTGCCTGCAGCTACTGAGGTTTTGAAGTTTATTGATACTATGTCTCGGTGTTCCTGAATGGAGGCGGCCACCTTGATAGATTCAGGACTTTGCTTCCTCACGTCAGAGCCTCCAGCAATGAGAACAGTGAGCAGCAGCAATAATGACATCACTAAATCTCCTGAGACTAGCAGAGGCAGCAGTGCCTGAGATCTCACACTGAAGACATACCAGGAAGTGCTCTGCTTTTATTATGGAGGAGGAGGCACCTCGGTCAGGGTTCTGCATGAGCACAATCCTCATTTAGGTGCTCCCTATATAACGGCAAATCTTCAATTTAGGGGATCTGTCCATTTTTTTTTTTTTACATTTTTCTTCATATGTTCTGAGAAAAAAACGTCCCGAAGGACCTCCCAGGATTATTTGGGTTTGACTGATTTTGTTCCTATAGAGCAGCGGCGGCGGCGAGGGTTAATGGCTCCTCCAGGAGGAACGCGTTCCTCTGATTTCCTCTGTAATTAAGGAACAATGAATGGAAGTGTTTTCTGTGTCACCTGTTTTCGTGCTGAAGAAAAATCCTGCGTGATGAGAGAATAATGAGAGAGGAAGTAAAGGGCATAGAAGCTGAACTCCGGGCTAAATGCATGGTATGAATCCATACAGGGGCGCAACTAGACATCACAGGGCCCCAAAGCAACATTCTGTATACCCCTTCCCCCCTAAAAAGGACCTACTTCCAGAACACGTTCCCGCTCACTGCTGCGGAGCCCACCAGAAGCCCCACACATACCATAGATCCCACACAGCCCACCTGAGAACCACACAGGGCGCCCGAGATCCCACACAGGGCGCCCGAGATCCCACACATCGAGGTCCCAGACAGCGGGCCCGAGGTCCCAGACAGCGGGCCCGAGGTCCCAGACAGCGGGCCCGAGGTCCCAGACAGCGGGCCCGAGGTCCCAGACAGCGGGCCCGAGGTCCCAGACAGCGGGCCCGAGGTCCCAGACAGCGGGCCCGAGGTCCCAGACAGCGGGCCCGAGGTCCCAGACAGCGGGCCCGAGGTCCCAGACAGCGGGCCCGAGGTCCCAGACAGCGGGCCCGAGGTCCCAGACAGCGGGCCCGAGGTCCCAGACAGCGGGCCCGAGGTCCCAGACAGCGGGCCCGAGGTCCCAGACAGCGGGCCCGAGGTCCCAGACAGCGGGCCCGAGGTCCCAGACAGCGGGCCCGAGATCCCAGACAGCCTGCCTATTTCCCCTCTGCTGGGGAGATCTAATCTCTGAGCATGGAGCGCACTCCAGGATTGTCACGTCCGCTCATGTCATTGGTTCTTTGCTTTTATAGCAGTTTTTCTGTTAGAACACTGGGACTGTTCAGGTGATGGTTGCAGCATTTAGCAGTACTCTGATAGAAGGAAATGACGAGAAATGAATGTGTCGTATGTCACAGAACAGGAAAAAAGTCTGCAATGAAGATTCTTAAAAACTGTGCAATGTCTACTGACCCGGGAGTGACTTGTTTTCCCTCGCATGGAGTTTCACTTCCTATTTCTCTGCTCGGTGTCTCCAGCTGCGCGATTCGTTGGTTCCTCTTCTGTCCTCGGCTTGGAGCAGTCCTGATTGCCGCAGAGAATGGCTCTCATGTACTCCTATCGGTGTCCTTCTCTGTGATGTCATACCCCCGGGGGGCAGAACCTTGACACACAAGAGAATGATTCCCCCGGAGAATATATAGTGAAACGTGCGTTCATTCATGGACCCTCCAATAACGCACATAAATGATTATTGATCTGTAACTAAAGCATATGAAGAAGGCAAATCCTTGACACGCTGGGCTCATTGGAAGTGGTTCAAGTGATCAGGAGGCAGATCCATAACACCCCCGGCTCATTGGAAGTGGTTTAAGTCACCATGGGGCAGATCCTTGACACCCCGAGCTCATTGGAAGTGGTTTAAGTGATCAGGGGGCAGATTTATGACCCCTTGGGCTCATTGGAAGTGGTTTAAGTGATCAGGGGGCAGATTTATGACCCCTTGGGCTCATTGGAGGTGGTCTAAGTGACTAGGAGCAGATCATGAACACCCTGGGCTCATTGGAAGTGGTTTAAGTGACCAAGGGGCAGATTCATGACACCCTGTGCACATTAGAAGTGGTTGAGGTGACCAGGAAGCAGATCCATGACACCCTTGGCTCATTTGGAAGTGGTTTAAGTGACATGGGGGCAGATCTATGACACCCTGTGATCATTGGAAGTGGTTGAAGTGACCAGGGGAGCAGATCATGACACCCTGTGCTCATTGGAAGTGGTTGAGGTGACCAAGAAGCAGATCCATGACACCCTTGGCTCATTGGAAGTGGTTTAAGTGACATGGAGGCAGATTCATGACACCCTGTGCTCATTGGAAGTGGTTTAAGTGACCAGGGGGGCAGATGCATGACACCCTGTGCACATTAGAAGTGGTTGAGGTGACCGGGGGGCAGATTCATGACACCCTGTGCTCATTGGAAGTGGTTTACGTGACCAGGGGGGCAGATCCTTGACACCCTGGGCTCATTGGAAGTGGTTTTAAATGTCTAGAAGGTGGTATTAGACATCATGGGCTAACAGGAAGTGGGCTTATTATTATTTATTTAAAGCTTATTTAAACATTTTTATGTACACAACACATGTGCCTGGAAATGGATGTAAATTATTGAAATGGGAACTTTCAGCTCTGTGTATTATCACTTGCTGCATTTTGCCGATAGAGTCACTAATGTCTTCCTCTGTTTGTTTTCTCCTCTATTGCTGCTGCTTCGAATTTCCAATGAACCTCCCAGGAGCCAGCCAAAAGTAAGTGGACCTGTCATTGTATGATGTTGTGTAAAGTGTGTACAATGTGTGGTGCACGGTACTGGATTGTAGCACACAAGTCAGAGACGACGCCAGTGGTCTTCTGCCACCTTTCCAACACATTCCATCCATCACTTTTGTAACTTATTGCACTTTGTGAGGGTTCGCGGGGGTAGAGGTCAGAGTGATGGGTTCTCCATTAAAGGTAACACACATATGAGAGCTGTGACTTCTGGGAGAGAGAAGTGGCACTGGTTCAAAAGAGAAGTACCTGGAATAGAAGAGGTATTCTACACCCCGACATTACATGTCTATACCGCCCCTGTGTTACAGCACTGTAGCATCCGGCAATGTCTTCAGCATTTGGCACAATGGATGGCTGTGTCCTCCACTGCGTGCCCTGGTCCATCCTCTGACCTACAGGACACAGCAGGGACGTAGGGGTCAAAGTATGGAACCACAACTCGGGGCAGCGGGGCAAAGACATCTGACATTCCTGGATGTATTAAAGGAGAACTATGAGGCGGGTGAAAATCCCTCATCCTCATAGTTCAAGCCGACGTGTGACAATGAGACTGTCACAGGTCGGCTCAGTAGATCGGGAAGTGAGAGAACACATACCGGCGCTCGCTCATTTTCGATCCTGTCCCTGCAGAGAGCCGTGACTGTCACTCACGGCTCCCTGCAGGGATTACCCCCCCTGTCCGATCCTCCAGCGCTGACTGGCGGAACGGACGGGGGAGGGGGCGGGTACAGCTGGCTCTGCCTCTAGATAGACAGAGCCAGCTGTCACTCACGCAGCTGGGCGGATCCAGACAGTGATGCCGGGATCCGTCCCGGCTGCGGCGTCTCAGTATACAGCGAGCTGGAGCTCCCTATATACTGAGCTTTGGGTGACGGGAGGACGCTAGTTTGTGTCCTCCCGTTATCCTTAGGAGAACTATCGGGGAAATCCCTGACCCCATAGTTCTCCTTTAAGCTCCAAAGATACTGGCAGAGCCTGCAGCACTAGATTGAGAGGAGGGAGAAGACCAGGGCTGCAGGAGAGGGGAGCATAGGAGCTGTTCTATTTTGGGGATTTTGAACAGTTTTTTTTTGCATCAATTACCTAATTGTGAAAATGCCTCCACCCCCTAACTGTGACACTTAGACCCCTAACATAACCCTTATCTCAGTCACTAACACTAGGATAACCCCTATCAGTGCAGCTCATCCGCACTGAAAATATTGGACCTCCCCGTAGGATGAGAAGGAAGAGTAACTAGATCAACGGATTTCTTATGAGGGTGGAACTGGCTGTCATATTTTCTTTAGTAAATACCACAGCTGTGCTTTAGGTTCTTCAGTAGGACTGGCAAACCTTTATATATTTATATGTGAATCCCTTAATTCTGCTTTAGAACAGGGTCTCTCTCGGCTTGCTACAGCACCCAGAGACCGAGCTACGAGAAACGTACAGGCGCACAATCCGGGCTCCGGTATTTGCATGGCTGCTGGTGGGCCTGGGGGCAAATGCTTGTTTTGCACTTTTATTTTAATATTCCTGACAATTTAGGGCAGGGGTAGCAAATCCCATGATGCATTTCTCTTCGGGAGTCATGTCTGTGGCTTTGAGAATCTTGCAATGCCTCATGGGATTTGTAGTTCCACCACAGCTGGAAGGCCGGAGGTTTGCTACCCCTGATTTAGGGTATAAAAATGGCTCGCGGGACACTCCCCAAGCTGTAGCTAGCCGTAGAGACCCTGAAAGGGCGTACTAGTGCTTGCCAGCTTTTTGCCGAGTCCTCCAAGCTTTGTACAGAACACCAGGAAAAGCTCAGTCCCTTGTCAGCTCTTTATATGAAGGCTGAAAACACTTCCCGCCTCATGTAATAGCCCAGCTGTGCAACTACTGCGGAATACTAAGCAGAAAGTCAAGTTGGGCGTGTTAAAGAGCCAGCAAACCCAAAACAGAAAATGACTATCAGTAAGATTTGCTAATGGCTCTGTGAAGGTTCCCTTGTCCTCACAAAAACATGATGTCCTGTTCAGCCTGATGCTTTCCCTAGTTGGTTTGCAATGCAAGAGGGATAACACAGATACTGGTATAGAGTCATGTAGGGGGTCTTTTCTTTAGCAACTGATTTAAATATGTATTTCTTTTCTCTTGCACAAGAAAAATGCCATATAGAGGTACTCCAAGGGGTGATAACTAAGAAAGGTGTAGAATCATGTTCGGGGTTCTCTAGTAGTTGGTAACCCAGAGAATGATGTTGAGATGATGGATGGGTTCTCCAAGGGATGGTAACTCACAAACTGGTGTACAGTTGTCTATGGGTTCTCCATGGGGTGAAAACTCAGAGCCTGTGTAGAGTTTGGGTTCTCCTGGGGTTGATCAATATAGAGACTGGTGCAGCGTCATCCAGTGGTTCTCCAGGTGCTGATACCCCAGGGGCTGGGTTAGAGTCATGTAGGAATTATCTAAGGGGTGATAACTCTAAGACTGGTGTAGAGTCATGTAGGGTTTCTCCAGGGGCTGTTAACTTAGACACTGGTGTAAGCTCATGTAGGGGTTCTTAAAGTGGTCATAACTCAGATACTGGTGTAGAGTCACGTAGGGATTCTTTATGGGGTGATTACTCAAACTGGCATAGAATCATGTTTGGGTTTTCCACTGGTTGACAACTCAGAGACTAGTGTATAGTCATGTAGGGGTTCTCCAAGGGGTAATAACTCACAGACTGGTGTATAGTTGTGTTGAGTTCTCTATGGGGTGATAACCGAGAGACTGGTGTAGAGTCATGTAGGGGTTCTCCAAGGGGTAATAACTCATAGACTGGTGTATAGTTGTGTTGAGTTCTCTATGGGGTGATAACCGAGAGACTGGTGTAGAGTCATGTAGGGGTTCTACGAGGGATGATAACTCCATGGCTGGTGTAGAGTGAAGTAAGAATTCTCCCAGGGGTTGATAAGTGAGAGACTGGGGTATTGTCATGTAAGGGTTCTCCAGGGGGTGATAACTTAGAGATTGGCGTAGAGTCATGTCTTTGTGAAGAGCACAACACACACACAACACACACACACCACTATTACTCCTTTTCCTATAGAGAAAAGAGGAAAAAAACCTATCAATACATGTGTTGCATCTCAGGTTTTTTTGGATAAGTTATCGAGGTAAACAAGGCAAGTCCCAAGGGTGATGGAAGGAATGATGGGTAGATGTCTCGCCATCCGTTGCCGTCTGTAGAACCCCTACCTGTTTATGGCCTTCTTTTCTTGGTTTGGTCTGGGATCAGACCTTAAAGACGATGTCCTTTCTGAGTATTTCTTCTAATGCCCCTCTTCTTCTGTAGGTATTCGCATACGATCATTGCTTCTGGTCAATGGATGAATCTGTAACAGAAAAATTTGCAGGTAAAGCCATAAAGCATCGGTTTAAAACCTATAACTTCAATCGTTATCTAAAATTGACACATTTTGCCGAATAAACGTAGTTGCAAAATAGAAGCGGAATTAGTACCTGTCCAGCCATCCGGGCCGCCAGAACTTTGCTCTGTTCAATAGAATTCCTCCTCTGACATGCGTAGGGAAACTGACACTTCCTGGAGTGTCGTTCTTTCAGCCCCCCGCAGCTCACGCTGGTTCCTCCCTCTGACCTCCATGTGACAGCTGTATCCTGTAATGACTTGGAGATCATGAGGAGGAACTGGCGAGAGCATCGGTTGACCCAGAAGATCAATACCCCTAGAAGTGTCGGTTTCATCATAATATCTGGCAAAGTGGACATGTCTATCAATACCACCTTTTTGTTTCCAACTCCTTTTGTGTTACCAAATATCCTTTCCCCCAAAACATGTCTGCTGGCTCTATCTGGGAATACTGCCCTGACGCATGGGCAAAAAATTTTAGGGCTGCTGTTTTGCTATGCTAAAAATTGTATCTTTCCTAATTGGAGAAATCCTCACCCTCCGACTCTTCCAGTGGGGATACAACTGACCAATTCCACTCTTCCCTTTTGTAAATTGACAAACGAGGGGTCACCCTAATCTTCCTTTTTTTTTTCTTCAAATTCTTTATAGACAAAAAGGGAGGGGTACAATGAAAAAGGACGTGGAGGCCACATGGTCTCTCACAATATATAAGTAGCAGACATTGAAGCATATACTATATACCGTACATGCGAACAAATTGTAAAGTTAGGTCTGGCTATCGTACTCGTCCCCGCCCTTAAAGTGACATTAAACCCTCAGATTTTTTTCACGTAAACCAATACTGTAATGTGCGCCTTACTGTAATCCATGGTACTTTCCCTTCTCTTTGCTGCTCTTCCTTTTAAATCTGTATCTCTTCTCATGCTTGGGGAGAACTTCCCTTTGCAGCTGAATGCCTCTTCTCTGTAGTGCTGGCTCAGGTTGCAAACCAACCCACAGACACCATGTAGCCATTCTAGAGACAAGGCAGTCTGCTGCCAAACAGAAGTTCTGCCCAGCATGAGAAGAGATACAGATTTAAAAGGAAGAGCAGCAAAGAGAAGGAAAACTACCATGGATGACAGTAAGGCGCACATTACAGTATTGTTTTATGTTAAAAAATCTGAGGGTTTAATGTCACTTTAAGGCATTTTATGGTTAACAGGAAAAACCAACACAACAATAAAAAAAGGAACAATATGGCAAGGTGAATTTGTCGGGCACGGCCCCACTATACGAGAGACCAGCACCGAGCATGTTCACCTCCGAACAATACATACAGGACAGACGAGCACAAACATTAACTTACGAAAGACTGAAAGAGAAGTATGAAGATTGGGAGCAAAAGTAGGGAGAGAGATCCCGCACCCTGGTTGTCCTGGAGTGTCCCATCCCCAAACGAGAAGCGGGTAGTATCGCAGGTTATCGCCTCAGTCTCCCCAACTTCCTCCCGGCATACATTTTGAGAAAACTGGCGAGCACCTGAACTGGACCCAAGCGCCCCAGGTAGTCACAAACCAAGATTTGCGATTCCCGTAAACTGGAGGTTAAATCCTCCCATCAGTCTAATCTCCTCCACTCGCCTCACCCACATATCCACAGTTGGAGAGCGGGTTTGTCTCCACAGAGCTGGTATGCAAGCTCTAGGCCGCATTCAACAAGTGAATCGGCAGCGAGCGTCCTATATGTCTTTGGGGAGAGCGGTGCCGACACCCTAATATTTTTAATAAAATCTGGAGAATGTGAGTCTCCTCTCCTTATACAATAGCCAAATCCCCTCTGTAAATGTATATATTTTATGTTCCATGTTGATGATTGGCCATGTTGCACCTCTCTGTATGTTCCTGCGACACCCAAGATATGTACAAAAACTCTCTACAGTACACTTTATTATAAGTTATAATGGGCCGTGTGTACAGAAATATCACAACACTCCCCGATATCTTTCATCTGTGTTTTATTGACTTTTTGTTCTCTCGTATACAACAAAATTGATATATATAATTAGGGCTGCGGAAATTAACGATTCATTTCTCGTTTAATCGTTAAACTTTTTGATTGATTAAAAGCTAATGAAAGGAAGGGGGAGGAGTCCGGTGATGTCAATGTCCGTGACGGCTAACGAAGGGAAGGTGGGAGGAGTCCGGTGACGTCGATGTCAGTGACGTCGCCGGACTCCCACCCCCTTGTTATTGTGTGTGTGTGTGTGTGTGTGTGTGTGTGTATATATATATATATATAACATGTTTGGTCTTTCAATACAATTTCACTCTTCTTTTTATCTCCAGGACAAGATGTTGTTTTTCAGTGCCTTGGTGAGAACATTCTCCAGAATGCCTTTGAGGGATACAACGCTTGTATCTTTGCCTATGGACAGACTGGTAAGATTTGAACGCAGTCAGCAACTTCAGTGGAACACAGTTTAGTCACCGAGGTCCCTGTGTGTGTCACTGTATTTGAGCTTCTATTAAATTCCAGGAACAGTCAAACGGCACACAGGTCTTTGGGGTTTACAGAACAGGGACACTGATGTTTATTGGGGTAGATTGTGGTCATGCGAGCATTTGGGGTGCTGAACCAGCAGTGGTGTGCAGATATCAGTATTCAGAAAGGAACTGTTGGCTTCCGTGAAGAGCCATGTTTGGTAAGCTCTATGTGACAATATAAAGTTGGCAACAACGACGCCTCAAGGATTGCAAGATCTCCTAATGGCAACCTGAAGAGAGACCTGATGTGTACCCGCCTATCTGTAGGGCCAGTTGAAGGGCTTTGAGATGCTTCGAAGATCTTCTTCTGAACTCATTGACAGGTGCATCTGACCTGCAGTTGGACCTCTTACTTGAATTGGACCTGCTTCAAGCAGATTTTGCATATCCATAGACTTGCATAGGGATACAAAACTCACATGAAGCAGACAAAAGGTCAGAACGATTATAGTGTTAGAACAGTGGCCCTTGGGAATGGTCAGGCAGTGGCCCATGGAAGTGGTCCGACAGAATCACATTGACATTATGGTGGCATTTCACGTGTTTTGGGGGCCAAGGAAAGCTGTAAAGTGTTTTGTTTTAATACTTAGTGGACAATCGATCTCTTCCAGGCTCAGGAAAGTCCTACACCATGATGGGCTCCGCCGACCAGCTTGGACTGATCCCCCGACTATGCAGCGCCCTGTTCGAGAGGACGCAGAAGGAGGAGACCGACGAGCTCAGCTTCAAAGTGGAAGTTTCCTACATGGAAATATACAATGAGAAAGTTCGGGATCTCCTGGACCCCAAAGGGTGAATTTCCTCCCTTGGCACACTGTGTGTTCATATATCTCATTTATTATCGTCTCCCGTGACCCCGGGCCGATGTATTCCGCTCATTGTGAATTCAGGGCATAAGATTGTCTGGCTTGTCTGGGTTCCATGTGATCTGAATGATGTGATTTTATAGGTCCTGGCACAAATCTGATTCATTTAGCTTTATTGGCATTCATTAAAAAAAAAAAAGAAATCCACAAATCACTGTATTTTCATGTACACTGGCCATGTTACATAACCTAAGTGTATATTCTAGAAAAACAAAAAAGCATTTTTTTGTGAGTAATAAAGGAAAATCCAATTTATAGAGTCCTCATGGCTGGGAAGGTTGCTGTTTCTGGCCACTGCTGCTTCTCTGTATGCAATAGCCGTCGATGTTTATGGCAGTTTGCAGGAGCACCACGCTCTCTTTAAAGGAGAACTATGAGGTGAGTGATTTCCACTCGCCTCATAGTTCTAGCCGACCTGTGACAATGAGACGGTCACAGGTCGGCTCAGTAGATCGGGAGGTGAGCGAACACATACCGGCGTTCGCTCACCTCTCGATCCTGTCACGGCTCTCTGCCGCGACGGGGAGAGGCTGGATTCTCCGCTCCGATCCGCCAGCGCTGACTGGCGGAACGGACGGGGGAGGGGGCGGGTACAGCTGGCTCTGCCTCTAGATAGGCAGAGCCAGCTGTCACTCACGCAGCTGGGCGGATCCCGTCATCTACGTCGGGATCCGCTCCGGCTGCGGCGTCTCAGTATACCGCGAGCTGCAGCTCCCTATATACCGAGCTTAGGGTGACGGGAGGAGGCTAGTTTGTGTCCTGCCGTTACCCTAAGGAGAACTATGGGGGAAAGCCCCGACCCCATAGTTCTCCTTTAATAGTCCAGATACACACACACACACACACACACACACACACACACCTTCATCAGGGCTTAGTAAGAGGGAACATGTATCAGGACTGTGGTGCCTTGAAATTGAATATCACTTTGTCCAGTGTGTGGTCATGCATAGAGCTCACGGCCGCCGCTGAAACACATTTGCTATTTCTATAATGTCCCCTCAACCCTGTTGCTTGCTGTCTGTCCTCTCTGGGAAGAGTCACCCTCTCTAAATGTCCCGGGCCGTTCTCCGCTACAGAAAGTGAAGGGAAAAGCTCAGGAAGAGAAGGTCAGGGTAAATCTTTTCAAGGGGGACAGCGGTCTAAGGGCTTGTTCACACCAAATGCAGACCAGATCTGCTTGAATTTCTGCACACGCAGTGTATTTTGCAGCGCTTTTGATGCATTTTTGCCGCGTTCCGAGCCATTTTTGTAAAAAATAAATAAATATATATAGCGTAAAATGGCCTTTCAGTGTGTTTCAGGGCGTTTGCATGCGTTTTTGATGCGTTTGCATGCGTTCCAGCGCAGAAAAAATAGGGCTTGCTGCAGTTTTTTTTACATACTCTGGGACTGAATGCTGCAGTGTGAACGAAGAGCCCAAAATACCATTGGAATACATTGGACGTGTTTTTTGATGCATTCTGTAACTGCTCTGCTCTGCATCTGGAGCGCGCTTGGTGTGAACAAGCCCTAAGAGGGGGATTGGCCTCACTTTGGAGAGAGCTCCTCTCACTTCCTGTCAGTGTCTCTGGGAAATGAAGGGAAGGGAAATCTTATAGAGCTCCCACTTTCTGTACCCTGAGTTTTGTGTTATGAGTTTTGCCGCCACAAATTTCTTACTCGGAACCTTTTCTTAAATGCATTTTTTTTTTAGGAGCCGGCAGTCCCTCAAAGTTCGGGAACATAAGGTCTTGGGCCCATACGTGGATGGCCTATCCAAGCTGGCGGTTGCATGTTACAAGGTGCGTTTCCAATAAAGTTATAATATTGTGATAAATGATTGTGGAGCAGAAATGTGTGTGTTTTTGTATATAATAATCCGGCCACTCGGTGTATATAATAATCCGGCCACTCGGTGTATATAATAATCCGGCCACTCGGTGTATATAATAATCCGGCCACTCGGTGTGTGTATATATATATAGCACACATCCCAGGCGGTTTCAGGACAGTCGTCCCCTGTCTACACAGTAGGGGGCTGTAAGTGATCAGTAAGTCACAGCCAGCTCCCAAATCCAAAATGGCGGCTCAAGAACGAAAACAGTGGTGAAGACCTCAGGTTCTAGGAAGACGGTGCTGGACCTCTTGGGCTGGCTGCAGTACTTGTAGCTGCTGACTCTTACTTTTTGCAAATCCGAATGATTTTAAACAGCCCCGATGCTGGCGACGTACACTGTGCGTCGTCAGTCACGAAGGGGTTAAGGGGCACTTGTCATGTAGGCTGACATTGCTGGCTGACTGTTTTGTTTTTTACTGCCTCACCCCTCAGATCTCCCCAATTCCTGCACCTTCACCCCTCAGATCTCCCCAATTTCTGCACCTTCACCCCTCAGATCACCCCAATTCCTGCACCTTCACCCCTCAGATCACTCCCAATTCCTGCACCTTCACCCCTCAGATCACCCCCAATTCCTGCACCTTCACCCCTCAGATCACTCCCAATTCCTGCACCATCACACCTCCGATCACTTCCAATTCCTGCACCTTCACCCCTCAGATCACCCCCAATTCCTGCACCTTCACCCCTCAGATCACTCCCAATTCCTGCACCATCACACCTCCGATCACTTCCAATTCCTGCACCTTCACCCCTCAGATCACCCCCAATTCCTGCACCTTCACCCCTCAGATCACTCCCAATTCCTGCACCATCACACCTCCGATCACTTCCAATTCCTGCACCTTCACCCCTCAGATCACCCCCAATTCCTGCACCTTCACCCCTCAGATCACTCCCAATTCCTGCACCATCACACCTCCGATCACTTCCAATTCCTGCACCTTCACCCCTCAGATCACCCCCAATTCCTGCACCTTCACCCCTCAGATCACTCCCAATTCCTGCACCATCACACCTCCGATCACTTCCAATTCCTGCACCTTCACCCCTCAGATCACCCCAATTCCTGCACCTTCACCCCTCAGATCACCCCAATTCCTGCACCTTCACCCCTCAGATCACCCCAATTCCTGCACCTTCACCCCTCAGATCACCCCAATTCCTGCACCTTCGCCCCTCTGATCAGTCCCAATTCCTGCACCTTCACCCCTCAGATCTCCCCCAATTCCTGCACCTTCACACCTCAGATCACCCCAATTCCTGCACCTTCACCCCTCAGATCCCCCCAATTCCTGCACCTTCACCCCTCAGATCCCCCCAATTCCTGCACCTTCACCCCTCAGATCCCCCCAATTCCTGCACCTTCACCCCTCAGATCCCCCCAATTCCTGCACCTTCACCCCTCAGATCCCCCCAATTCCTGCACCTTCACCCCTCAGATCCCCCCAATTCCTGCACCTTCACCCCTCAGATCCCCCCAATTCCTGCACCTTCACCCCTCAGATCCCCCCAATTCCTGCACCTTCACCCCTCAGATCCCCCCAATTCCTGCACCTTCACCCCTCAGATCCCCCCAATTCCTGCACCTTCACCCCTCAGATCCCCCCAATTCCTGCACCTTCACCCCTCAGATCAGCCCCAAGAGCTTTGAACTCTTAGCAGATACCAGAAAGCAAGTTTCTAGAACAGATTCTATACATTTGTGAGCGGTTGCAGGTGTCTAATCAGTATATGTAATTCTGTACAATCAGACCTGATGTAGCATAAAATGAAACATATTACAATAAATGAAATCAGGTCTCAATCCTATTTGGAGTTCACATAATTGGGGGTTCAGATCTTTTAATGGAGGATCCGGAGGGCTTCCTAACCTCAGAAGTCACCCTATGACCCTGTGTCTGGATTTGTAGTCATTGGGTACAATATTTGTCTAAGTAAATAAATAGCAGACTGACCATGCGGCATCATTTTGGGTTGGTGTTTTGTTTTCGCACGGTAGCAGCAACCAACATGAATGAGGAGAGCAGCAGGTCACACGGCGTGTTCAATATCATCCTCACACACACCATCACTGATGTCCAGTCCGGGGTAAGCTTTCTGTCCCCTCCTCTATTATTTACTGTTGTTGTTGAATTTGGCCTTTTCGCCCCTTTTATCCTGGCATTTGCCAAATACATAGACCAATTCCGAGATGCCTAGTTCATTCACCCATCAACGCGTTTTCACATTTGCATAACTCCTCCCAAGAGCCAGCCCTCTGCTTGCATCAGGGCTCCTCAAAGCGGAAACGAGGCAGGGTGCTGTGATGTCTTCCAGACGCTATGTACAGCACCCCAGTGACCGTGCATTTCCTCATATTCCGGGTTAGGCATTCACCTGCCCCGCCGGTTGAAGACAAGCCCCACCCCGCCGCACAAAGTCCCGCCCCTGCCCGGGTGAAGTACCCCCCCAACCTAGTGTGAAGGAGGAAGGGAGGAGTCTCGCTGTCCCTCACTAACTACCTGTCAAAAGCCGGATGCAGCACTGCCTGGCAGCACTTCATCCATGACCGGTTACCGGAATGGAGAAAAAGCTGTCAGCTTCAGACCGAAAGCTGACAGCTTTTTCCTCCATATTTCTAGGTGAGGCTCCGCCCCCACCTGCCTCCCCTGACGGCACGTCCCTGCAGCACCCCGCCGACTCCCCCAACCAGCCGTGATCTGTCTGCATTGGAAGGCAAAAATAAGCATGTGTCATCATACAAGTGTTTGTGTCTTGGTGGCGTCACCGACATCAATAGCAATGAGGCATCCGGTCACCGCCGCACCGTCCCCCAAGTGGTCATTGTCCTCTGCTTGAGAAAACGGCACTGGCAGCCGTGCTTACAAAGGGGGCCATTTTTATTTTAGTGTATGGGTTTGCTATGAGAGCAACGCATTGTCGCCCCTGCGTCATTCCAGATCTCGCCCGGGACGCTTGTATGGACATTCCTACCCCAGTCCAGATCATTGAATTATCCTACAGCTCGTTCTATACTAAACAGTCCCACGTTGTTGCTGCTGCAGAACATCTCACTCTCATCTGCTTCCTTTCCATCTGGACGATTGACCTCTGACCCTAAGCCATAAATATCTCCCTGGCTGTGTTAGACACTTTATTGGGAC